ATGAACGTGTCAAGTTCAAATCTACAAGAGTGAGCTCCAACTTAAACTTGGGCAACACACCTTTGCTTGCATATTGGCCCTTTTCAAATATATACCTAAGTAATGTTGAAGGTTCTTCTTTCCTATGCCTCACATCAATTTACACCCACATGAATGATTGGAAAAGTTTCATGAAGTTTGAAATCAAGAAGTCACATTAAATGATAAGTTATAATCTATCTTGGATGGCTTTATTAAGTGAATGGAATTATAGGTCATCAACCAAATCTTGATACCTTGCCCAAACAACTCTAATTGAACTCTACAACAAAAGTCATGAAGGGTTCGTGTTGAGCAGAAGTTAAGAAAATGCCTCAACCGGTCAAAAACTATAATTTAAGCTTTACCGTAATGCTACTTTGACCTATGTTGACCAATAACTTACAGTGCTTGCATGGAGTTGAACCTTAGATAAAAGTTGAAGATTAAGTGGAGTAGAACAAACTTTGTTTTTGGATTAAGAGCTAGATCAGCTTGTAAGCAAGTCAAACCGAGGCTCAAACTTTGAATCTGCAGCTGTTTTCAGCACTTGAAATTTTTCTAAGTCTGGGAACGGGAATTTCAGTTTTAGGTTACCTTATTTGGTGCTCTGTATCTCTCAAACCAAGCCGAGCCAGTTCATAAACCTTTAATAGAAGTTGTATTACTACCTTAGATCTACAACTTTTATTAATGAGGTTTTTGCGTAAACTGGCTGGTTTAGGGAGTAGAAGGGGGCGAAGAATGCAGTTTCAGGCAGCCGGTAACTGAACGGCAGAATTTGGTTTTGAGGAACCCTCATTTGATGATCCATATCTCCAAATCTAGGCCGAGTTAGCTTTTGATCCTTAAATCAATATTGTTTACCTCATAAAGATATACAACTTTGTCTCTTAGCCGTGATCAAAGGACCACCGGATCGGCAGTTAAAGGATGGGAAATTTGGAGTTTCAGTCGTATTTTCGCGGTGGTATTTCTTAATCGGCCGAAGCTGCAGCAGTGTCCGACCGCACACAGAGGCTTGCCGCCGCGTGGCCTCCCGTGCCTGCGCCCGTCGCCACCTCGCCTGTCGCGTGTCGCTTTAGTAGCCGAGCCCGAGCCCTGTTCCTGACCTCTACATTCACACTCTCTCACTCGCCTTCTGGAGCCTGCTCGCGCTGAGCATGGTCGTGCTTGCCATGGCCGGGCGGAGCTCCTTGCCGCTGCAGCTGCTGCGCTCTTCCTCTATCCCAGCTAAGCGCAGCACCACATCCCTCAGCTCTCGCCGCACCTCCACTGGCCCTCGTATCATCAACTCCGCCACTGCAGTTCGCTGCCACCGGCGCGGCCGTTCCAGCAGCCGCAGGCGCGCGTGAAAGGGCCACCTTGGGCCATCCTCGGCTCAACTGAGCAGCCCCACGGGTGAGCGCTGTTCTTGGGATGCTCCCCGGCTCTTCCCCACCACCGCCAGTGACCTCCCTCCACCGGAAAGCACTATCCCGGTGACCTCCCTGTTCTAATCCACGTCAAGGAGGTCGCGCGCATATTAGAGAAAAGGGAAGGGTCTTTCTGCGAATCTGTGACTCATGAATAGTGCCGATAAGGACCTATTTGCAGTAAATTTGCTGAATCTTTGGAAATTCATAGTAATTCATAGGAAATTCCTAAAATAGCAAATGAGGACTTTTTGGAATCCTTGTGAAATTCTCTATGCATTAGATCTATAATATGGCATGTTTTAGTTTCAATATTTTGCGGTAAAAATAGATTTGTGTAGTAAGGTTGGAATGCTAGTTGAATTTGTTATCTTCCATATCTGCAGATCTAAGGATCCAAATGAAGTTAAATTTTTGTGGCATGCTACTCATGTTATAGTTGATGTGTGGTAAAAATTTCATGAGTATTGGATGAAGTATGAGTGAGTTATTAGTTTATCTTGCTCTCACATGATTTCTTGCAATAGCAAATTGTCTTTTTAATAGAGGTAGCTATACTTATGAAAATGGTATGACATTTGTACAGTAGACTATTAAGAGGATATGTGAGCTACTGTAATTTTTTTAGAATTTATTGTGCATTTTTGTATATGTTCATAAATACACCTTGATGTCTAAATAAATTAAGAAATGTTTTAAGAAAATTTAATTAGGGGTGAGCACCATGCTTTCTGGTGTTCTTTAGTCATGTGTGAAATGTTGGTAAAGTTGATTTTGCCCAATTATGTGTTTGCAACCTAAGTTAATAATTATTTTCTTGACGATGAGGTTTATGGACAGATCTAGGAACTTAGCAAAGTTCTTCATGATAATGTGCTTTGTTGTGAAACTTGTTTATACAAAAGCTGTAGATAATTCATGTATCTAGCTTCTGTTAAAATTTGGTGTCATTTGGCCAAGTAGTTTAAGAGTTACAGCTATTTAAAGTTGGGTTACAGAATTGATTGCTCTTTGTCTTGTTCAGACCAGTTTCTGTAAATGGGTATATTTGACTTAGTTAACTTAAGAATCATGCTAAGATGATTAAAGATGAATTGTAGAAAATTGCATAAGCTTTCCAGAATGTCTTGTTTCATGGCTATTGGATTTGTATAACTGTAGTTATGATCTAAACATGAAGCTGTTGTTTTCAGTCCAGAAATAGACATAGGTTAGTTGCGGTTGTTTACTCCATGTGTTGCTAAGTGTGGCTTATGCCCTTGTTGATGGTCAAGTTATGATACTTGTGACCTTATTAAACTTGTGTCGTGCTTGATGTGCTTGCTCTCTATAGTTAGTTGTGTGATGTTAGTTAAATAGCTATTAGTGTCTATGTCTTGCATAATCTTGTGTTTGTCTTGAATGCTTATTTGATGCATATTGTATTACCATTCTTCATATTCATGCACTTGCATCTTGCATCTCATCTAGGTGCGCTAGATGAACCACGTGAAGGACGTGATGTTGGAGCCGAACCCGAAGACGGTGTATGGTGGACCTATCCCGAAGGTGGAAGGACTAGACAAGTGCTAGAACGGGAGATGCTCACTATGCGAGTGTCGTCTAACAAACACTAACCTAGTGTTGGATTTCAGGCAAGCCACGGAGCATTCTAAGTCTCCTACTTTATAAAAGCAATTCTTTCTATATATATGGGTTTATATATTGTTGCATTAAGTTGTAGGAGTTGATTAAAACCGTTGATGCATTTATTACTATCCTTGCCTACCTTATTACCTTTTACCCTGTTAGGTCAGGATCGAATAACTGCTTAGCCTTGCTTAGACCGGTAGCGATCGGTGATTTCCGGTCACCTACTTTTATAGGTGGTTACTGGAAGAAATTAGCTATGGAAAGAATGATATCCTGGAATTAACCATGTGTGATGAATAATTGGAGACCGGACGGAAAAAGTTGGAGGCAACCAGACAAGGTTCTGGGGTGCCGTTAGTTTTTCCTCTGCGTTGATTAAGGACCGATCGTTGCTTGTCCCTCTTGTCATGTTGAACACATGCCTCACATTTAGCTGGCCGAATAAAGTACCTTTCGACCGCGAAGCTAGTGACACCTTTTCGAGCTGGGATAAACTCGGATGCGTAGACTGGTGCTGAAGAGGGTATAACGATGACACGAAGAGTGAGCCCAAGGTTTGTCCTGGCAGTCGGGCGGTCCCTGGGTAGTGCGGTCCATGATTGTTATCCCGCGGCTACTTGGAAAGTGTCATTGGTGATCTAAGCGACCCTGACGGGGGAAGCATGGTTTGTGTGAGGAATAAATCACCAGCTGGTTAGGAATCGATTCGAATCGCCATCGCTCCTAGATAGTGAGCACTTGACTCGAGCTACGGCATCGTAGTAATGATTATGGAACAATGATGGTTATCTGGATGGTATGGGATATGCTAAATCTAAATTGGTAACTAGATGTTATTGGTTAATCAAGTGATTGCTATAGTATAGGTGCTTACCTAGATGGATAGGTCATAATAAAGATGATGCAAAGTACTTAAAATGGTTTCTTCATGATAGCTTATGCTTTTCGCAAACGAGCCAGCTAGCCCACTAAAGAAAGCCTTGCAAAATTCTTGGTGTCGCTTTATTTTGGTTTAAGACGGGTAAGTCTGGCTGAGTACATTTGAGTACTCAGGGTTTATCCCACCATGTTGCAGGTGAGTTTTCGGCCTGTTGAAGATAGTGGCTAACCGCCGGTAGGCTCGGTGATTCTATATTTACTTCTCATCTATATGCTTTTGTCTAAAGATGTCACTTATGCTAGCAATGTATTTGGAACTTATATTAATGTAATCATTTGAAAGCTATGTTGTTTTTTTATAATTGGTTTTGAAACCCAAACTTGTACTATTATTTGTGAACCCATTTGTAACATTATTTCTGCTGCAACTCTGCGTATGTGATGTGTATTTGCTTAATCACGCGATCTTGGTTGTGATGTTGATTTACCGAGGTCCTTCGTGACACTCGGCGGACTACCGGGTTTGTATAAGTGAAAGTATGCGCGTGTCAACATGTTAGCGGGGATAGCCATACTTGATCTTGTATAAATTGGGCGGTTCTGTCACAGCCGAGTGCTGGGTCGGGCAGTCGGCAAAATAATCGTTAACGGCCGGCGCGCAACGGCCGAAAATATTTTGCCGAGTGCCGCCCCAAGCACTCGGCAAAATTGTTTTTTATTTTGCCGAGTGCCCCGATAAAAAACATTCGGCAAAGACCCTTTGCCGAGAAAAATTTTGCCGAGCGGACTTTTCCGAGTGCTACACTCGGTAAAGCCTTTGCCGAGTGCAAAGGGCTCTTTGCCGAGTGTAAAAACACTCGGCAAAGCCGTGTCCTCCAGTAGTGAATAAGACAGCTCGATCATGTATCATTTAGGATCATGGAGGTATTAAACTATACACGCTTGACATCTGAACTTAGATTAATTGATTCACTGATGACGTTTTATGACGAGAAGCCATATATACGTACGTATAGTACTTGGCGCCTGCTGGATCTTATTATCAGCGAACTAAACTCAAACGACGAGCTTCGTGTACAATGAAGTTATAGTGTCCTTGAGGTTGGATGGGAGGGTGTATGAATCTTCTCTCTTGTAAATGAAATCTAGTGATCGTCCAACGCTGACCACCTTGTTCAGAATCGCCATGGGATATCCCTGGTCAAGGCACCCTTGGACGATGTCCATCCATGCCTCCTCACATGTAAACTTGAGCTTCTCAATGGCTTCCTCAACTGTGACCCCGTACTGCTTCATGCAAGTTTGCACCGTGGATGCCATATGGTCTGAAGCTTGTTCTCGCTGAAAAAGAGTACAGGGAATCGATCGATCGTCAGAAAAATATTCCTATTTACAATGCATCCAATCTTGAAGGGAGAGTTGCCTTGTTAGTGTGTATGTGTACCTCATATGACATGATATCGTTCAGTATACGAGCCGTAGCAGTAACTGCCCTGATCATTTTCGGATAGGTGAATGCCCAATCAACGATCTCCCTAGTAGTCACATCTCCCAGAGAAACCAAGGTAAGGACAACGACTTGCATAGCCATAATGCTTCCCAATGAAATTTGCAGGTGTTCATCAACATCGGCAGGCACGTACTGCTCATCACGCCATTTGACCTCAGCATGGTAGGATTCGGCCACGTGAGTCATCTGAATATACATATGTAGTTAGATGTCTAGCTAGATGTCAAACATGACTTAAACGTACCTAGAAAGCAAACTTTTTTTTTTTTTTTTTGCATTGGTGTCATTTCTCGGTGTGTGGTAAATCTTTAATTTGGAGATCAACTGCGGCCACTTACCACTTCTCTTACCACCTCCGAATTCTTGTTATTCTGAACTTTCAACTCGGCCACAATCTTATCTGCAGTACGGATTACACTCTTGTAGAAGGGCCTCAGGTGTTCAGGGATTTGTTCCTCCGCTGCCTTCTCATCCCACCTATTTATTGCCGTTTCACAAGCAAATAAAGTGGAATTGTATTCGTGTATATAAGATATATATGTAGAGAATATCTCCACCCGTGATAGATGTGATTAAATTTCAGTGAGCGAGATATATAGACTAACCTTTTCAAGGCTGTAGTAAAGATGTTGCTCTCATCTGTGGTGCTGTAGTTGTCATAGATGTCATCCATCAAAGCCATGTATAGGGCCAGCTTTGTAAGCATTATCCGTGAATACGAGTAATACGGCTCGTAAACAATAATCGTCATCCAAAAGTACATCTCCACCAATCTATCCCTTGAAAACGTCATGTCCACCTGTGACCGGACATCCTTCCACCACCTGTGTGTGAATTGATCATACATATACACGTGTAAAAAATCATCACAAACTGTTGTGCAAAAAGAAAAGAAAAATGTAAATCACTCCAAACTTGTATATACCAATGATTTCTCTCTCCTTAAGTACGTACGTACACTGAAAGTTGTTTCAACTCGTCGCAGTAGACAGCTTGCACGATGTTGTAGTCCAGCTTTGCGAGCTCCAGTATGGTGTCGTCTCGTGTCGCCTTCTTCTCGTACACCGAGATGAAGCGCCTGGCCTCCACTCTCTCGGCTCTCCTGAAACGAGTCGTCTCCAGCGTGATCCGCACCTCCTCTGCCAGATCCGGCTCCAGCTTTGTGCTTTCCATCATGGTCTGGAGACGACTCTTGTTGAAAGCGATGATGTTGTCAAGTATGTCCTCCCCACGAGTCCTCATATACGCGGCGTCGTACAGCATCATCAGTGTGTTCACATCGTCACTGGAATTGTTTCCTTGCTCGTCTCTAAACTTCACAAACACATCTGCATGGAACACATGCGTCCGTGCATGTTAACAGATGCAGACATTTCTAGATGCAGCCTCTATTGTATAGAGGCATACATCCTAAGACGACCGACTCTGTGAGTTATTATTGGCATTGACTATTTGATAGAGACAGTCGGCCTACCCACCTATGAAAATTAAAAAAAATAACCAGCCTCTAAATTAAAGTAAAAACACACATGCATATACATATACTCCCCTCGTTCCAAATTATAAGTCATTTTGACTTTTTTTGGTTCATACATTTTGCTATGCATCTAGACATATTATTTATTTAGATACATAACAAAATGAATATAACAAATAAAAATCAAAGCGGCTTATAATTTGTAATGGAGGAAGTATTATATTCAAAATGAAAGTACAAGCTAGAGTCGTCCTTACCGGAAGAGACGGCGTACCCGTGCTTCCTGAGCAGGTAGAACCTCAGCGAGGTGACGTAGAGGTCATCCGACGAAGCTGAAGCTCCATGGTCATGGTGGTCCTCGTGAACCGCACGCAGCAGCGCATCGATCTCCTCCTTGTAGTGGTAGTCCACTCCGAGCCGCTGCAGCGCGTCGACGAGCTCCAGCTTCCGCACCAGGCCGTCGCTGCCGGAAGCGGCGGCGGCGTCCAACACGATCCGCCTCACCTCCTCCTTCTTAGCCGACGCCTTCTCCTGCATGGACAGGAGCTCTTCCGGCGTGCAAAGCTGGTGGGTGATGAAGAAGTCGCCCCACACGCTCGGGGCGTACTGCCGGCGACAGTCCTGCTCCGCCGCGGCCGACGACGGCTGTGGTAACGACGACGGAACGGCGCCGGAGCTGCAGATGATGGGAGTGGTCGCCATAGAAACGGCTGGGGGTGCGCTGATCCTGGCCGGTCTACAGGTGGATTGCTAGAGTTAGACTAGTAGTGCTGGTGCTAGACTGCTAGCAAGGCCCTTTATATACACCAGGACACGTGCAATATATATGCATGGGAACATGCTTGACTGCCGCATGCGGGCCGGTATCGTGTCTTAGTATTGAGGAAGATAGCTGGAACATGCATCCATGCAGCACATGCACTTACCGTACGTGTCTTCCAATTGACTGGTGCTACCTTCCTGCATTTGTCAAGATATACAAACATCTTTAAAGATCCTAACTAAGATTGCAGGCGGGGCGGGCTCTTAACATAACCCGCACGCTCGTCCCGCAAAAATTCTCTTCGTGGCTATTGCAGCTCAGCTGCAATTTCTTTGTGGCCCAGTATCCTTTAACCAGCGAAGCCCGTTGGGCAAGAGACAGAGGTCGCATGAACCTGCAAGAACCCACGACAATTGCATCTCCTGATCCCTATCGCAGTTGCCGTCATGGTAGCATGGCGTCAGGCATCGTCCTCCTCCGCTCGCCATCTGCCCGTTCTACAACTCTCGTACGTCCTGGCCCTCGGCGCAGATGGGAACGCCGATTGCTGCCATGGCAGGGACGACTGCGTGGAGCGCGACGAGTTCAGCTTCGGGAACAGGGGCGTGATGGACTGGGACGTGGAGGAAGGGGATGAGAAGGCCGCGGCAGTGGCGGGCGGGGACGCCAACGCGGTGGCCGCACCGATGGCGATGCCGTCGATGAGCGTGATGTCCCGTCTCATCCTGATCATGGTGTGGCGCAAGCCCATCCGCAACCCAAACACCTACTCCAGCCTCATAGAACTTCCAGATGCTGGCCATCATCCTGCAATCCATCTCCATCCTGTCGGACGCGGGGCTCGGAATGGCCATGTTCAGTCTCGGGCGTGGCTCCCATTCCAACTCTTGTTTTTGTCATCATAAGTTCATGCGTGTAGATACACGGTACGTGTACATACACTGTAGTGTAGCGGGTCTCGCGGGTTTTGCAGCCAAGTGCGTTGTGTCCATGGAAAACTTGTCCGCCAACTCTATCGCATAGTGGCTGGCCGCAAACCCGCTAATAAACTTTGCGGCAAGCGATGCGGGTTAGCAGCCGACCGCGAACGAGCCCGTCTGCAAGGGTAATCCTAACAAAATATAAAGCATATCTCAAATATACGCATGTTTCCAACTTTTTCTGTCAAAAAACCTAACGTTTCAGAGCAAGTCCAAGAGACTCTTTATATGATATCATGATATCATTCTGTACTGATAGAGATAGATTTTTTTTGGTAGAAAAAGGTGCCCTCCTCAAGTTCTTCAATTAGATCTACAAAATATTGCCAAATTTTTATTTCTGATTTTTTGCTAGTCAAATATGGACAACGGAGCTGGCTCTCTAGAGCTGGCGCGTACAGGATATAGAGAAATTATTGGAGTGTTTAAAGATATAGAGATTAATTTTTATTCAAATGGTTCTCCAAATGAAAGAAAACCAGCTAGCTAAGCTAAGGTCAGCTCTATCAGATTAATGTATATAGGTTCCACCGGGTACAATTAAGTGCCCACAAAAAGAAGATTAATGCCATTGAAAACAATTACTAACGTCATGAAAATCAATTTGCCAATTGGCTAGGTAAAATTTGGCACATGCAAAGAAGTTGTAGAGTCCGGCATGCATGTGTTCTTCTAAGGGAGAGAAGAAATCTGTCTAAGGTAAAAAACACGGTGAATCAAGCCGTTCAACATGTCCGTGCTTGCTTATTAAGACCTCATTAGGTTATGCTAGATTCCACCAGGAATCAATCCAGATGATCAAATCAAAGACTATAAATTAAAATAGCATTCCGGCTAGGAATTAATCCTGGGAACCGTTCTCTGGCAACCGAACGGGCCCTAAGGCTGTTTGGTTCTTTTCCTGGAACACAGACAGGCCCGGACTTCATCACTTTATTTGCGTATCGGAAAGAGTTCCAGCAAGTCTTACAAAATGCGTTTAGTCGAGACTTAGTCGCCTAAACCAACTAAAGCTTGCTTCTTCTTTTGAAAAAAAGCAGCAAAAGGCAAAAGGGAGTCCATTTAACGTGCTCTCTTCATCTTGAAAAGTGTAAAACTCGATCAATTTTATAGGAAAATATATTGATATTTATGATTATTACAATTTAATTTGTCATGTAATATAGTTTAATAGGATACTTATTTGCTATCATATATGTTGATGTTTTATGTATATATGAATGTATAGTGGAATTTATGTTCAGCTTTGACTAAACCTATGAAGTCTTTTTTTTTAATTTCATAGAAAAAACTCAAAAAGGGAGGAAGTAATAATCTTCCCTCGTTGATTGAAAGTTTCGAAGAAATCAGTTGTTCTCTGACTGTTGGTGTGTGAAAGTGGAGGGAACGAGGCGTGGCTTGTACCAGGGTCAAAGATTATAACAACTTGGACTACAATCAAGATACTAACTAACCTCCTAGCTTAGATTACAAGCCAAGTAATAACTTGGATGGGGCGCATGGCCCGTAGACTATCGCCTATCTTAACATGGTGAACAGTCTTATTGACGTAGAAAATGCTCCCTTTGAACAGTCATTCACGTGGCTGGAAAACTGTAGTCATCAGTCATTCACGTGGCTGGAACAGTAGAAAATGCTCCCTTTGAACAGTCATTCACACGTCGCTGGAAAACAGTAGTCATCAGTCATCACATTTCACATTTCACATTTTTCGGACTGGGCTCAACTCATTAATTTCTGACCAAGCATGTCCTTGACATGTCCTTGTTATTGGGAGTTAATGGCCACGTGGAGCGTAGAAAAACATTCTCCTTTGAATGATCCACATATGCCAACTAGTCCTTCGCGACTTCGTGTGGTTGGAAAATATTCAGGCATATGTTTCGAACCCCGTCAAGTCATTTTCCTTTTGTGACTATCTTTGTCTAAGAAACTTGACTCCCTAAGGTTCAAATTCTGTTCTGACTTCTGAAACACATGTCATGTCATGTTGCCATCTTACGACTTCTGATTTGTTTTCTCCTTTACTTAAGTTCAAGAGAAGAAATTGATCCAGATTTTTATAGGACAATGATGCACAGGGGCCAAGATATGTAAGAATTATCATGCTATTCTGCAAGAACTGGATCAAGAAGAGGATAGAAGAAGGAGCAAAAGACCGGAAATGCAAATCTCCAAGGCCAATAATGTATTGATTTCCATCAACAAGAAAAGAAACATGGAAGGTACTAGTATCAATAACCATAATTCCTTCTTTGGATAGAGGGAGTAATATATGGGGTAAACATAGATATGAATTTTGCTACTGTTGATATGTTTGTTGATTTAGAATGTGCAAGACACAACTTAGCCTCTAAAAAGGATAACCATGTCCATAATATTATAGTCCTTAAAATTAGAATATCATTATCGAATATAAGGATTCTCCATTTATAATGGGTTCACTAGACTCATTTTTTGTAATTTAGAAGGATTCGCCAATAGTAATGCTTGGAATAGGGCGTCTGTCCGCCTAGACGCCCCCGTTGATGGGCCGCGACGCCCAGAACGCTCTCCTCTCCGTTCCTATTAGCTCCAGTCCAGTCACCACAATTTCTAAAAAAAAACTCATGCAGCACTGAGACCGCGCTCTGCCGTGCCTCCCGCCCGCCTTCCTCTCCATCGCGCTTCCCTCTCCACCGCACCTCCCATCCGCCTTCCTCTCCACTGTGCGTCCCTCTCCACTGCGCCTCGTGCCCGCCTTCTCCACCGGAGCGACTCGCTGCGGCCTTCTCCACCGAACTTGCGGTGGCCTTCTCCACAGGAGCGGCAAGCTCCACGCCACCGATGAGCTCTACACCGGTGAACTCCACATACCAACGAGCCTCCATTTTCCCAAATAACAAGGAGATGTTGCACTGAAAGTGCATGATGCAAACGTATGTTTGAAGTGTTTCACATGTTTTAGAGGTATCTTGCAAGTGTTTCATTTGGATATTGCGAAAGTAGATTTGGATGTTGCATATGTTGCAATCTCTATACACATATGTTGCAAGCGTCTGTTCCAAATATTCATCTGTTTCCATATGTATGTTGCAAGTGTTTTATCTGGATGTTGAATAAGTTTTCACACATGTTGCAAGTGTGTCACCTGGATGTTGCATATGTTTGCAATGGCTTTCAAGTCTTTTTAGGTGTTTTGCAAGTGTTTCAGACGTATGTTGCAAGTGTTTCAGCTGTTTCAGACGTATGCTACAAGCGTTTCATCTAGTGAAGATGATATCTTGAATTTGGATGGGCACACCCTTGACATTGAGCCTTTGGATCATCTTCTCCACCTTGTTGATAAGTTTGATTGATTCTTCATCAAGGTCGGAGGTGGAGAAGGAAGATTGATCATCATCACTTGAATCTTCATGATCATGATCATGATGATGATGATGATCATCATCATCATCATCATCATCTTCTTCTTCTTCTTCTTCTTCTTCTTCTTCTTCTTCTTCTTCTTCTTCTTCTTCTTCTTCTTCTTCTTCATCTTCACTAGAGGAGCTTGAGCTTGAACTTGTCTCAACTTGCTTGCCCTTCATCTTCTTTTCCTCACTACATGTGAGAGCTTTGCCTTTGCTTGATGAAGAGGCTTCTTCTTGACCCATCTTGCGTGACATTTCAAATGCCACTATCTTGCCAATGACTATGGCTGGGGTCATGGTGCTCAAGTCCTCCATATTGTGAATGATGGTGATGATACTTGCATATTTCTTTTGTGGTTGCACGGAGATGATCTTTCTTACGATGTCCGCATCATCTAGCTTTGTTAATCCTATTGAATGGAGCTCATTGATAATTAGATTCAAACGAGAATACATATCACGAATAAGTTCATCATCATTTATTTTAAAGGAATCATAATTTTATTTAGCTAGACAATGTTTTTGCTCACGGACATTAGTTGTGCCGTCGTGGAGCTCTTAGAGTTT